TAATGATAAAAACAAAATGAACATAAGTTATAGAAAAGTTTTAAAAAATTACTCTCAAACGCAGAAATTACTAGAACCTGATCACGTGTACGAGTGGAACGAAGGAGAAAAACTATGTATTGACGATATAAATGATGAACTTCTCTTGCCTAGTAGTGAAAAATTAAAAATTCAAAGTTCCACACTCATTGAAATATTTGAGTTATTCTTTTCTCAAAGTTTGAAGCAGTACATTTTCCGGATTTTCAGAAAATCAAAAAATTGTTATAGAAAATTTTGGAAAAATTTGAGTATTCCTTGACTCATTTCAAGACATTTTTGTTCTTAGGAATTTTTCGCCAGTCTATAGTTTTCTAGAAAAAAATTCGTCAAGTTGAAAAATACAATTTCTCACTTAGGCCGCCATTTTGNGACCATACCAAATCAAATTTTAGACCATTATTCCACCATCTAAACCAGTTTGAGAAGTATAAAAAATGTACAGAGGTCGAAAAATCGTTTTTAACTAGATATCGTATCGAAAAAACACGTTTCTTTTTTTTATTTTCGATTTTTCCATGCTTAAAAATTTTTTTTTTTTTCTAACTATCACCATTCGAAAGAGCACCCTCAAAAACATAGGGTACAGTGATTTAAAAAAAATTTTGGCTCGATTTCATTGTTGGGTATTGATTCAAACTTAAACGTCAAATTTATGCCATTTGGGCCAAAACGGGTTAAACAAAAGTTGTAGGGTTCAGAGGGACATCTGATAGTGACCTTATCTTTGTCACGGATGTTCTTTTTCAAAATTATTTCAAGATTAATTTTTATTTTTTTAATGGAATGGCCTATTTTTGATACCGGAAATCAATAGAGGGGGAAATTTTACGTTAAAAACATGTAGCAACATGTAGGATCAAATTGACCACAGAGTCACTTCAAGGTCAAAGAAATGTTCACTCCAGAAATGAATAAAGCATATTAGAGTAGTTTGACGTTTAGTTATGCTTCATGGGATCAACTTGACTACAGAAGTCATTTCAAGGTGTACTCAGTACATGCATTGTGTATGTACTCAGTACGTAAACGGAACCATTGCTTCGCATTACCGTTCAGTTTCGATCAAACAAAGACTTTTGCAGTAACGACACATACGTTCGTCTCACTACGAGTCGTCGAATATTTTCTCGAACAAAACATATACGCCTCACACCACTTATACCGAATTTCACTGAAAACCGATACTGACCGACGCGCTCGACTTTTCGAGCTTTTCCTCGATGCTATCCATGCGATAATGTCCGCCACACTTGCTCCGATTAACGCACCATTAGCCTTTCGTCGATCCTGCACTTTCGGAACTTTTTGACACTCGCAAAATCATCTTCTTTTTTCCCGAATAAATTTCAGGTCAAATATTATACGAATACACTCAGGCCATTATCCCGCTCTCACTGAAATTGAAGGGAATAATAATTGATATACCTTCTTAATTCGTCACTTTTTTACCGCCAGTAGAAGAAACTAATCATATCTTATTTCATCTTAGAGATTTAATTTTCTAGATATAGCGAAATGTCAGATTATACTCCGAAATAAAATCGTTGATATTATTCTGGCATTTAGAGAGCGTCGTAATAATGATCGACAAGCAGAATTATACCGCAATCAGTTTCTTCAAAAATGGCATCCGAATCATCGTACGATTGCCAAGATTGTTTTATGCCAACGACAACATCCACGTGAAGCACGACAAAGAAGTCGTTTCAATGTATCAAAAAAGGATGATCCATTAAGTTCTTGCCGTATTGGGTATGACCGCCATCCTCATGTATCAATACGGCAAATTGAAAACAAATTAGGTACCCCGAAATCAACAATCCACAGGATTTTGAAATTTCGTAACTTCCACCCGTATTATGTTACTTTAACACAGGAATTAATAATTCAAGATTTTCAACAAAGACTAGTATTTTGTAAATAGGCACAATGTTACGACGTGATCCAGCATTCTTTAGGCATGTATTATTTAATGATAAGGCTACATTTCACAACACTGGACAATTAAATCGGCACAATTCCCATTTATTGGTCCGTACAAAATCTACATTGGTATTACGGAGTGCATTATCAACATCGTTGGAGTTTGATTGTGTGGTGTGGAATCCTAAGTGGAAACCTAATCGGACCTTATTTCTTCAATGAAAATGTAAATAGTGCTAATTATTTACATTTTTTACAACACGACTTGATAGAATTGCTTAACAACATCGATCTGGCAACTAGGGAATTTATGTGGCTCCAACAGGATGGTGATCGACCACATTAGAGTAGGATAGTTAGACAACATTTGAATCTAACATTCCCAGATAGATGGATAAGTTGTGGTGGACCTGTTTCATGATGTCCTAGGTCGCCAGACTTGACAAGTCCGGATTTCTTGTTATGGGGTTTTTTGAAGAACACTGTGTACTCAAAACAACCCAGTACAAGAGAAAACATGATGGAGCGTATAACTTTTGCTTGTCGGAGCATTCCGAGAAATATTCTTTTATCAACTGTCGATAATTTTGAACGTCGAGTTCAAATATGTCTAGACAATAATAGGCAGATACGTGAGCATTTATTTAGATAATGAAAGAACATCCCTAAATCGTGAGAGGCAAGGGGACTCACAATTGCGTTTCCGTTTAGAAAAAAATTGAAGTTGACAAATCTCTGGAATAAACTTGACCTCATGATATGGAGCATAACTGAACGTCAGACTGCTCTGACGTGCTTTATTCTTTTCTGGAGTAAACATTTTTTTTACCTTGAAGTCTTTGGAGTCAATTTGACCCCACATGTTGCTATATGTTTTAACGTAAAATTTCCTCCTCTCTTGATTTCCGATATCAAAAATAGGACATTCCATTTAAAAAACAAAAGTTGATCTTCAAATGATCTTGAAAAAGGACATTCGTGACAAAGTTAATATCGGATATCCCCCTCTGAATCCTACAACTTTTGTCTGAAGCATTTTTCAAAATAACCACTTCCCTCGTTTTTAAATGAGGTGTATGAATGGTTTGAAATACCCGGTACACACGCACGCACGCACGCACGCACGCACGCACGCGCGCGCGCGCGCGCGCGCACACACACACACACACACACACACACACACACACACACACACACACACACTTATATATAGTTTAATTAAATAAAATTTCATTATGAAAATTTTAAAAAACCGGAACCGTAAACCGGAACCTTTATTATATTTTAGTGGACTAAAACCAGAACTAGACCGATATATTCATCCGGTCTCTGATTTAAACAAATATCTCAATATATAATTATAATATAATCTGCAAATGATCTTAATACACTAATCTTAATACACTGTCCAACTGTTATATATAAAAAAGCAATAAATAAGATAACATATATTTGATAACAAAATATCTTGTTTAATCTTGTTTTCTTATACAAGGGTAGATTAAAAAGTTTTCGACTTGACTAAGAAAAAAACATTTTTTGATCCAAATGAAATTTATTTCTCAACATAATCTCTGTTCAACTCAATACACTCCAACGTTTTCTAGACCTTTCCTTCCCTCAGTATAATGACTTTTGTCGAAACTCGAAAAATAGTCATTAACGACACTTATCACTTCAGCATCCAATGAAAATTTCTTCCCAATAGCCATTTTTTTTTAATTTGTAAACAGAAAAAAGCCGAACGGAGCCAAATCTGGAGAATACGGTGGATGTATAATTAATTCGTACATTTCGTACAATTTCATTGCCATTGCAACTGCTGTGGGTCGGTGCATTGTCCCGATGAAAGAAGATTTTCTTTTTGGTCAAATGCGGACTTTTGTTCTTGATTTCTATGTTCAAATGTTGTAATTACTCAGTACAATATTCTCCAGTGATTGTTTTATCTTTTTCCAGATAGTCCACAAAAATTATCATATGAGAATTCCAGAAAACTGTGGCCATCACTTTACCAGCCGACGGAACTGCTTTCGCCTTTTTCGGGATCGATTCGTCCTTTGCAGTCCACTGCTTTGATTGTCCCTTATCCGTTTATTTCCGGAGTATAATAGTGGATCCAAGTTTCGTCGACAGTAATAAAACGTCGTAAAAAATCTTTTTCGTTGCGTTTGAAACACTCAAGACACGATCGTGAAATGTCTAACCGATCTTGTTTTTGATCAACAGTGAACAAATACGGCACCCAACGCACTCAGCTTTCTCATATCTAATTCCTCATGTAAAATGTTGTGCGTCCGCTCGTATGAGATACTAACAGCCTTTGTTATTTTTCTCAAAGTTAATCAACGATCATCCATCATGATTCAATGAATATAATCGGTCATTTCATTTCGCTGTTGCGGTTTTTGGTCGTCCAGAACGTTCCTCGTCAAAAATGCTCGTTCTGCCATGTTTAAATTCAGCAGCCTAGGTTTTCACGGTTGTAAATAAAGAAGCAGCATCTTCATACATTGAATCTAATTTAGTTTTAATTTCTGTGGGAATTTTCATTTTCAAATGAAGAAATTTTATTAGGATGCGATACTGCAATTTCTCCATTGTTGATAAACTCACACAAAAGGCTGTCAGAAACAAACTAATCGCTAAAATGACATCAAACTTAGCTCTTTGTGTTTCTTTTAGTGCCATCTATTGAACAAGTATTGAAATTTCACTGAACTCTTGCACTTTCTTGGTCAGGTCGGAAACCTTTCAATCTACCCTCGTATATATTAGACAGTATTAGGTTACGAGTTATTGTATTTACAATTTTTTGTAACTATCATTTTGGTTCTGTTAATTCTAATGTATGCAACGCAAGATGCATAAGTCAAAAATATTTCTCCTTTCCTTCTCAAAAACAAAAATAATTACCTTCTCCAATTGATGTGCATCATCTGGTAAATAATCACCTGGTATACTCTGAATACTGGGTAAATTAGGCATCGTTGGTTCTAATCGGTCAACAAGTAAGTTGTATATAGCTGATACATGATCAAAAGCATTTCCATTAATGGCTTGTAACAATGTATCTGCGCTGAGTCCAGGTAATCTTAACATATTCTCTATCACTAATTGATTTAATTGTGATGGCACGCTCACATCAGGATTACATCTGAAAATATACATTTTTTTTCTTTCTATGATATTTAAGCACAGCGGCAGCAATATGTGTTTACGTGCGTGCGCGTGCGTGTATATGTGTGCACGCACAATACACACCCTCCAGGTTCTAACTCCACTATTCCATCTCCACCCATCCATGAATGACCTAAGATTTGCGAAATACTTAAACGCCGCTCTGGTTCTACCACCAACATGTGCCTAATTAACTTTTCACAATCTGAGAGAGAAAGAAATAATAGAAATATTATTTATATTACATAGATGTGTGTGTGTGTGTGTGTGTGTGTGTGTGTGTGTAAGCATTCGTGTATGTGTATACAATGTAATTTAAAACAATCTTTCATTGTTAAAACTACATAATTCTGACTAAATTCTAAGACAACTTTTTATCTTGCAAAACTTTGTCAGAAGCATGTTTTTTTAATTATTAACAGATATATTTACCAAAAGAGGATCAGATCGTGTCATCGCGGATTTCGCTCAAATTGAAATATGTTGTAGTACCAAGCCCCCATTGTATTTGAGAGGCAAGTGAGACAATGCAACGCTCAAGTATTCACGAAAACCTTGCATGTAAAGTTTCTCGTGCGCCGTAAGGACCGCTTGCCAAATAGTAAGCGTAACGCGGATAAGGCGGCGAGCTAGTACGTTGCAGGTTGTGTGTTCGAATCGGACTTTATGCAGTTTTTCTTTTTAATTCTTTTCAAAAATTAATTTTTACGAAATGTTAGTTTCAATTGACGATTAAGAAACACATAAATAATCTAAATATGTCCAGAAATAATGATTTAATAATTAATGTATGTAATATTTCTTACTCGTATGTTTCAACGTCTGCAACAATATTAACAATATTGATTAGTAATTATAGCATTATTGCAGTAACAACAAAAAATCGGTAGAGCGAAAAGATGCGATAAAAATACATTCCTTGGCCTTTTATTAGTTGAATGCTTTAACATTTGAACCTATGATTTAATGTTTCCAAGAGTTAGAAAAAAAAAATCTGAACAATTCAGAAATTGGATTTTTTTCAGTTTTTTTTCATCAAGCCTGGAAAAATTCTTTTGGTTGGAAAAACTAATTTTTGTAATAATTGTAATGATATTTGAATGATATATTCAGATAGCGATATTTTATTAATAATATGTTTGAATGATATACTGAGATAGCATTATTTTACTAATACAGTATGTTACAAATACACAAATAAATGCATGATAGTTAAAACTTTTACATAAAATTAAGGAAAATAAAACATTTTTCGTACTCTTATTATATAATATCGCACAACATTTACAAAATAAAAAGAGAAACAAAAATATATATTTATATTTTATTCTATTCAAGTATTTTTTTGCTTAACTATTCAACCCGTTTTGATAATTCGATAATGTTATCGCAAATAAACATGCTTTTGCAGAAAGTGCGAAGTAGCTCGCAAAAATATCGTCGTTTACTATCAAAAAAATTTTATTTAAGAATGTCTTTCTATATATTATATTGTTAATTCAATTCCACTTTAACATATTCGCTAAAATGTAAATACGGTTTGTAATATATGTTACTTTCCATTCTAGATAGCTGAATTTCGGCTGGCCATTGAAATGAAATGAATCCAAAACTTATTATAAAACCTGTTATGTACTTGTACGATTGCGACTACAACTGATATAAAAGAAGACAATTGTAAGAATACAGGAAATATACGTCTATTTTTAAAAACAACCATGACAGCTTTTATTATGTTAAAAATTAATTTTTTCTACAATGTTTTTTTCAGAAAAAAATGTTTTTATCGTTTCTTCTGCCGAGTTTAACTTTTCCGAAAAATAACACTGCTATAATTCAATATGCTTGGTACGCATCAAAATTAATTGCCGAGAGACCCATCTTTCCATTGTAAATGACATCTGCTTTTCCCCAAATTTTTTGAAAACACCTTGTGTTTATAAAGATATTTAGTTTCATTACATATACTTGATACATAATTTATGCTTTAAATGTTTCTACGATAATTATTATTTTAAATCATATATACTTTTTGAAAACCAATCTGAGGAAGATTCTGATTAGTAATTAAAATAAAGTACACGTAACAAGTGAATTTGGACTTCTTATTGTAATTGAAAATCATTATTGTTGGTATGATAATAGGCGATAAAATATGCAAGTAAGAAAGATTACATACATTAATTATTAAATCATAATTTTTTGGCATATTAAGATTATTTATGCATTGTTTAATCGTTAATTGTAATTAACATAGTAATATAATATTAATATAATGTTAAAATAGATTTACTAAAAATTAATATTAAACAGAAAAAATTGTTTAAAGCTCGACTCAAACGCACAGCCTGCAGCACACTAGCCCGTCGTCTTAGCTGTTGTGTTACATTTGCTATATGACAAGCGTGCTTTCGTAAATGGTCCTTACCATTTAAGCGTGCGAAAAATTTTACATGCTAATTTCTTGCGAACATTTAAACATTGTGTCGTCTCACTTGTTTATCAAATAGTGAGATCTTGGTACTACAATATGTTCCAATTTGAGCGAAATTCGTGATGACAAGATCTGACTCCTCTCTCCCTTGTTAGGTTAGTACGAGTCGGGTTTAAGTAAGCAGGGACGGTGCAACTCACCGTTAAACGGACACTTACGTGGACTGCCTGCTGCAATCAGCTGATCGTTATACATAAACTGCGTGCTAATATTCATTGCCAGTACAGAAAATCTATGTTTCTCATATCTTGTTGTTAAATGTATTGTAGTTTTTCAGAACTGGCAATAACTTTCGAAAACAATCACGATGGTGCGTGTATATACATGCATGCACGTTCTGCCCCCCCCCCTCCCCTCCCCTTGTTCACTCTTTCTTTCTCTCACTTATTTATTCACTCACTCACTCGCTCACATTTCCTTACACACTCGGAATATGCAACTTAATACTAATAAACATATATATCATAATGAATTACTGACAATCACTATCAATCACTATCGACGAACTATTTGACGACTGATAATCCTTGAAAGAAATACATAACTAAATATATGTTTCTTCCAAGTATCATTAGTCACCAACATAATACGTGCTTACTTCATGACAGGAAGCAAATCATTTATTTCGCAGATGATATTTGTATACATAGCAAAGGCGTTTCTCCTGGTTTTGTACCAACAAGTTCACGAATCGCTTTTGTATACAACAAAGTGCATTAATAGAATCCTTTTTGAACATAGAAAAGTGTTAAGGTGCACGCCATCTGCAAATTTCCGACACGTATTTCTCCGGAAGACCGATTCCGTACCCTTGGTACTAAAGTTGCACTAGCGTTGTCGAATATGAATATCTGATTAGTTAGTGATTTAGAATTCAGATTTTTGAACGCGAAATTTGCGTTTCTTATTTTTCTTCCAAAACAAATATTATTGCAAAATCTAAGAAAACGTTCCACGTAACATAATAATATTTGATTGTCCTGAACAAGTTCATTATTTCTGAAAATTATTCTTCATAACAAATGCTCGAAGTGGCCACATTCATCGCAATGCAAGCTCTTATGCGTTTCAAAAATATGGGATTCAAAAATAACAAACCTTTTTCAGGACGATCAAATGTTAGGTATAAATTAATTCGTACCGTTTTTTCGCAAACATCGGCTTTATTTTTCAACAAGATGAATATATTAATTAATTATTAAAATATTCTCCGTTAACAACAATGACCTTACGCCATCTATCGGGCAATTTTCGGATTCCATCGCAATAAAAACTTGGTGGCTTTGAAACAATGAAGTTATCGACCAAGTTTTGAACGTCTTTAATTTAGTCAAAGTATGTATCCGATAAGGAGTGTTGCATTGACCGAAACAAGTGGTAATCTAAAAGGGCTATGTCTGGCGAATATGCCGCGTGAGGAAAAATTTCCCAGCCCAAGTTTAAGATGATTTCCTTCGTGGTTTCTGCTGTTGCGGTTTAGCATTGTTGTGGAGCAAAATGATCTTATGACTGCCTTGTCCAGACCAAATGGCAGTTTTTCCTCAATTGCATTACTCAAATGGATTAATTGTTGTCGGTAGAACTCTGCTTTAATTGCCTGATCTGGTTCGAAGAGTTCACAGTACACCACACCCTTCTGATTCCACCATATATAAACAAGAACCTTCTTGCCGAAACGTTTAGGTTTTGCTGTTGATGTCGTCGGTGGACCACTGGAGGATCCACCCATGGTTTTTTGAGTTTTGGATAATTGTACAGTATTTTTTTTTTTATAACTCCCTATAGTATTATAATCTGTCACGTTGACATTCAGCAATGTGTTTAAGATAAGTTAGACATGCTCGGTGTTTGCCTGGAGAAACACTCTCAAAATTTTCGGCACTACTGTGTTCCAATCACACATCTGTACAACTTCCTGAATTTACCCTACTACCAGATCATTAGACAACTTTCTTTTTAATTTACTTTGCTTTCTTTGGCTTCATAAGATTTATCACTAGTTTGTTGGGATGTCTGTCCAGTCCATCCTTTTAGTTTCATGTCTTCTTCTTGATCTCCTCCTTAACTGTAGGAATTTCTAAGTCGTGATGAAGAATCTTATTGGTGACGAACTAAGGCGCATTAGTAATGATTCGTAATATCTTGTTTTGAAATCTTTGAATAATTTCAACGTTAGAATTAGAGGCTGTACTCCACAATTCAGTCCGTAGGTCCAGATCGGTTTTATAATGCTCCTGTAGAGAAACATTTTATTTTCAGTTGAGAGTTGGAATTTTCAACCAATTATCCAATAGGTTTTACTTAACGACAGACCTAGTTGCTTTCGTTTAACTATAGTATGCTTTTTCCATGTTAGTCTCCTCTCGAGATCTCCTATCGAGATATATTCCCAAGTACTTTGCCTCCTCGGCTTGCAGGATTTGAGTTCCATTGATTTGTACAGGACACGTTTTATGTTTCATGGAAAAATTTACCTGTATTGATTTAGTCTCGTTAACCCTGATTCTCCATTTCCTAAGCCATAATTCTATTTCCTTGAGACTATTTTGCAGCATTTTTGATGCTATGCTTAGATTTTGATGAGACGTGAGAATCACTATATCATCAGCATAAGTGCCACTGGTTGTGTTAGCCTGGGTAGGTAAATCCGCAGTAAAGAGCAAGTACAGTACAGGTCTCAGCACACTACCCTGTGAATTTCAACTTGGATTTTGAACAATTTTGTTGTTGCTTCGTTATGGTTTACAAAGAAATGTCGATTGTCCAGATAGGACTTTAGTAATTCATAGTAGGGTAAAGGAAAGTTTGCCTTAATTTTTTGTCCCTCATGCCAAACCTTGTCGAAGGCCTGTGAGAGATCTAGGAAAACAGCTGCACAGTATTCTCCGGCTTCAAACGAATTATGTATTTTATTGACTACCCTATATATCTGGTTAATGGTACTATGTTTTTGTCTACCAAATTTTTGAAGCCAAATTGAT